TAGTCACTATATCCAAATATATCCTACCCGTCCCTTAGCCTACATTACAACCAAATAAAGACCTCTTGATCTTAGACTAAAACAACTCGATTAGTAGAGTATTACACTAAGGGCAAGCTTATGGTGTATCTGTGTGGCATATGAATGTTCTTTGCTGAGAGTGAGTGAATTCTTTCTATCTAAAGTTCTTTGTGCTTGATTCTATATGTGTGGAACTTCTCTCAATTTATTGATGTGAGGGCATGTGACTCAGGAAGAAACAGCAAGTTTTCACCTCTGTAGAGTGACTAGAGTGAGCATGTGTGTGGCATGGTATTAGAGTCTGCATTTGAGGTGTGACAGTTGCGCTGCTTAGGTTGTTCTTTCATAATGGCGGGTGTGACATAAAATTGGGTAACTCGTTGAGCGATTCGGCCTAGGAGTGTGGTTCAACTTGCTCGAGGACGAGCAAAGCTTTAAGTGTGGGGTGTTGATAATAGGTGAATTGAACTATGATTAAGCCTCAAAAGAACCACCTTCTTGTAGAGTTTTTATTGTAAAAGTGATAGCAAAATGCTCTTATTGGTGCTTTTCATGTTTTTCAGGTTACATACAGTAGAAGAAGGCTATGGAGTGGTTTTGTATCATTTATGAAAGAAAAAGAAGCCAATCGCACCAAAGTCGCCAAATGAACCATGTGAAATACACAAACAAGGCCTGGAGGTGAATTGCCGCGGTCCCGGCGTAACCGCGGCCGGACCGCGGCAAGTTGCTATATGAGATTCAGAGAGGCCTTTTGGTCGCGCTCCTAGCGTGGGCGCGGCCGGACCGCGGCAGGCGACGAGAAATTGAAGGACTGAAGTGCAAATTTCGGAATTCTTAGCCCAAAACCCTATTTAAATACTAGAACTCGCCCAAGGGAGGCAGGTAATATTTTAGAGAGTACTTTGGCAAGGAAAACAAGTGTGAGAGATCACCCAAAACATCATTACTCTTATTCTTTTTTATTTTTCTTGCAATTTATGATGATGAATCTTTTAGTAGTTTATTTCCCCATTGTCATGAGTAGCTAAAAACCTTAATCTAAGGTTTTGGTGGAACCCGTTGGGGATGACTTGGTTGTTTTATTAATATAATTGAATTTGGTTGTTAATCTCTAATTGTTCATCTATGTTTTGATTGTGGATTAGGTGAAAGGGCCCTCAATTATCAGTTCCTATTTATTATGTATCTACTTGAGAGAGAGTGCATATTTAGGTGATTGTATGAACAACATCACTCCCGGAGTATAGACGAGAGTCATAACCGAGGGTTTAGGGGTTGGATTAGAGATAACGAAACCCCGGGTGCAATCTAAGTGAATTGTATTGTGAAATTAGCTAGCGTAGCTTGAGAGAGTGCGTCTAGTAGATTATCATAATTACTTGAGAAAGAATTGTGATAGCTTGAGCGTTCATGATTGTTAGAGACAACTAAATCATAGTTATAAGACATATACAACCAAGGAAAGTACCAACGGGGGAAACCATTGCCTTAGACTTTATTTCTACTGTTTACACATCAAGTTTAGTTAATTTTCAGCTGTTAATTACTTTCAATCTTTAGTTGTTGGAAAATCAACCATTGTGAATCAAAAAGTTTGGGAAAACAGATTGTGTGAATTTAGTAAATTTGACAGTAGTGATTGATAGGTTAGTTCCCTGTGGTTCGACTCTGGGCAATAATACTCAAATTATATTTGCAACGCCCGCATAGTCTTTTGTGAGACTTAGTTGAGCGTGATCAGAAAGCTGCTTGAGAGCCTTGCTATGTGAATCCACTACCTTTGTGAGCGCATCCTGAGTGCCGAGGATCTTCTTCTGGTTCTCAAGTATCTCTTTGAGCACATCCTCGATCGACTGGGGTACCTGTGGGGATGGGGGAGCTGACTGAGCCGCTACAGTAGTAGTTAATGTGGACAACTTGGATGAGGCAATCTGCATCCAGTTGTTTATACTTAGCAGGGCCTAGCTCAGCCGGTGGGCAGTGATGGGATGGGCCCGGCTAGATAGGATCTCCGGGCCTGCTGATGTGGAAGGGCCAGGAGGAATGGCTGAAGATGTGGAAGGTCCGGGAGGCATATCAGCAGAAATGGAGGTAGGCTCTGCAGGGACCTCTACCACAACTGGCTCTTCAGACTGTCCAGTTGGGGCAGAAGTAGGGGCTTTGTAGTTCTTGTCCTTGGGGTTGTCATTCCCTTTCAAGCTATACCAGGAGAACGGGGTTGTCGCCTTGACCTTGACGTCGTAGGGCTTCTTGTCCACCTTCAAGTCCCGAAAGTACACGGTGAGGGTGCTAGGAAAAGGCTAGTTCTGGTCATGCTCTGCTCCCACTAACGAGATAATGCGGGACATCACATTCCCCACATTGATGGGGTATCCCGCCATAATCAAAGCAACCAAAATAGCCGGGTAGAGAGGAAGGGTCTGGTCATGTGTAGTAGGATCCAACCGGCTGCAAACAAATGTATCCCAACCCCTCGCCTCAAAGTTCAAGGTCCTCCGCAATATTTTGACCCCAGCAGTCAACCAATCAGGAAGGGTACCTGGGATTTGCCAGGTACTGAGCTAACCATGGACGGACCTCCTCACCCATTTCCAACTTCGCCATGTATAAAGTTTCATCCTCCTCATTGAAGCCCAAGTATTCATTAAGGTATTTCCCATCAAACAAAACTGTCTTATTGCGAACCTTGGTCACTTTGGAGCCCTTTTTATGTGGGCTACATTGCAATAGAACTCTTTGACCATGTGTTCGTTGGCGTCCACACAGTCATCTAAAAAGTACTCCCAACCCACTCTAGTTCTGAACTGTCTCTACACGTCAGGGTTGTGGGGTAATAGATCTCTGTCAATGAAACTCCGCTCCAGTATCAACTTTCTCACCGGCCACCACTCCCTAAACTTGTGGTACGCCATCTGACTCACGAACCTATCCTACCAAACATCGGGCTTTCTAGTTCGGGCGATGCCTCCCACC